CGGCCCCCATGTCTTTCACAGTCAGAGACTCCCTGAGTGTCTGGTGATTGAGTCTCCGGTGTCTGTTCATGTTTAAGAAAGAGGCACTAACAGGCCGATGGGACTCAGATCCAGGGCGTGGCTTGTTGGCCCCACGGAACCCCTGAATGTGTCTTTAAGGAATCCTCCGCAGGATTCCCGTTGCCTGGCTGCTCCTCTCCCAAGAGCTTGAGTGTACCTTTTAAAGGTGAAGGTTTGCACTCAGATCTCCCTTTCCTTTCGGTCCCATCACAGCCCTGAGAATCCAGTCTGGGACCCGCAAACGGGTCTTTCTGTCGTCCCCCTGCACGGTCGGGGTGGCGCTCAGCTCTCTGCTCCTCTGCTCGCTCTGGCTCTGGCTCTGGCTGTTAGAGGTGCAGGTCCAGGTCCTTCCCTCTCGGGAAGGCTCGCTTCTCGAGGCCCCCCTCCCCCCCGCCCTGCCGCCTTGTGCATCGCGCGCCCCTCGGCGTTCCCGCTTCCCAAATGTTGGGCAGCGAGTCTCCTTTTCGTTCTCGTTCTGTTTTCTTTCCCTTTTCAACCCCATCGCTGTCGTTTTCGTGAGGTCCTGGCTTTAGGGACGGGGTTTGTCCCGGTAAAACTCTGGGTCCCCTCTTCTGGGATCATCCCACTCACCCGCTGGCCCACGGGCCTGGGGGACCGGCCTCTGCCTCCGCCTTCCCCACGCAGATGCTTGGCCTAGAAGCCAGAGTTCCTAGAAGACCTGCCCTCCATCCCAGCCTCTTCTTCCTCTAGGCCCAGATCTCTGTTAGGGGGGAAAGAAAATCAATGGGGAAATCCTCGGTAATTGCTTTAGAATTGAGACCGTCTGGAGCCCTGGGGTGAGACTGGGGTGGATGCATTTGCATATCTTTGTCCGGCTGTGGCCTTGACCGCCCTGGGCAGCCTTGGGATTCCCTTTATTTAAATTTGAGCACCTACTTGGAGGACTGGGCGTCTAGTTGGGGCAAGTCAAAGTCCCAGCCCACAGCAAGCCCACATTCCAGGATGGGGAGGGACTGGGGTTAAACCCAGATTGCTCTTCTTGGGCGGTGACCTCTGTCGGAGAGGAGCTGGGGGCTATGGGATGCTAAAAAACGATGCCTGCTGGGATCTGACTCCCTTGGGGGTGGGGAAGGTTAGGGCGGGCTCCCAGCTGAGGGGAGGGAGCTCTAAGGGTGCTAGAGGAACAAAGCCCTGTAGCTTGGGGCAGGGTGGGGTGGGCAGGCGCCTTCCGCCTCCCTCAGGCCAGCCCCCAGGTCCCGTTGGACCCTTTTCCCCCTTTGACAGGGTGGGGCGGGAGCCGGTTGATCTGGCCTGGTGGTTCCTGCGGCTGCTGCAGCTCCTG